TATAGTTGATTTTCAATCTACTATTTTGCTATTTGTTCTTATTTGTGTCATCTAATTTTATTTCCTTTCCTTTCCTTCTTTTGGTTCAATCGAGATTTCTAACATATTATTTTGCTTCTGATACTGGCTTATTAGTTATGTCTATATATGCTTAAGGGAGGTATATGTGTATTTATAGTAGGTAGTTTATGGTTTATAATTTAAATTACTGATTTATCATAGCCTACCTAAAATAATACTATGCCACTGCAGGTATAGTATACGTCAACTGTATAGTTTTTCTTTCAACATTTTTGTTGTTTTTTAATATTTTTTAGTTGTAGATAGACACAATACCTTTATTTTATTTTTATGTGGTGCTAAGGATTGAACTCAGTGCTCTCCATATGCAAGGCAAGCACTCTACCACTGAGCTGTGACCCCAGTCCCATTTTTATTATTTTTGTATTACATTTTGCTTCAATACATGTTTAAAAAGGAGCTTCTTTCTTTCTTTTTTCTTCCTTTCTTTCTTATTATCTATTTTCCATCTAAGTTACCTGAAATAGTAAAAAAAAAAAAAAAAAAAAAGAGAGAGAGAGAGAAAGAGAAAAAACTTTTATGATTACTATTTCTGGAATTATTCAGTTCATATAACATCTAGAATTTTTCCACATTTTATATGCATATCTGCTAACAACAAATCCCAGCTTTTGTCTTCAAAAACAAAATAAGATTTTTTGAAACCCTTAACTTTGCCTTCATTGATAGGTTCTGCACCCCCGCCCTCTTCTTTCAGCTCTTTAATGACATTGTTGTATTGTCTTTCAACCTGTTTAGGTCCTGATGGGATGTTTGTGAACATCCTTATCCTTGTTTCTCTGTGTGCAATGTATCATTTTTCTTTGTGTGCTCTTAAGAATTTCTCTGTCTCTGATTTTCAGTAATTTTATTATCATGAACCTTACTGTGATTTTCTTTCTGTTTATCCTGATTGTGGTTTATTGAGCTTCTTGGAACTGTAGATTCATAATTTTCATTGAGTTTGGATGGTTTTCAACAATATTGCATCAACTATCTTTTTGGTTCCCATTTCTCCCATTTCCTGGCATTGTAAACATGTATTTTAGACTACTCGATTTTGTCACTGAAGTTCTTGGTCATCTTTTTAGTTCATTTTGTTAATTTTCTCTCTTGTGCTTCATTTTGAATAGTTTTTGTTGCTGTTGTTAATTCCACTGATTTTTTTTCTTTTCAATGCTTAATCTTCTGTGAAAATGATCCAGTGAAATTTTCATTTCAGTTTTGTATTTTTCATTTTAAAGGTTCTGTTTGGTTCTTTTTTATACATTCAACTTCTGTTCTCATTGAATTCATTTGCTACATTTAAATTCTTTTAAAAAATTAATTAGTTGATTATTATAATTTTGGGGGAGGGTGGTATTGGGGATTGAATTCAGGGGTAATCAACCACTGAGCCACATGTCTCTAAATAAATGCAAAATAATTATTTTGCATTTATTTAGAGACATGTTCTCACTGAGTTGCTTAGCGCCTCACTCTTTCTGAGGCTGGCTTTGAACTGGAAATCCTCCAGCCTCAGCCTCCTGAGCCACTGGGATTACAGGCATGTGCCACCATGCCCAGCTTAACTGATTATTTTAATAAAAATAATTTTTTAATAAGAATGGGCAAAAATTGTATAGATTTGTCCAGTATAGCATGATGCTTTACAATGCACACATTATGGAATGACTTGATAGAACTAATTAATGTATGAATTATCTCACATGCTTATAATATTTTGTGAGAATACTTTAAATCTATTCTTTTAGCAATTTTCAGGAATATAAAACATTATTATTAACTATTATCACTGATTTGGATGATAGTTCTCTTAAAATTATTCAGTTTAACTGAAAATTTAAATCCTTTGACCAATATCTTCTATTCCCTATCTCCTAGTATGTGTTCACCATTCTACTCTCTGCTTCTACAATTCCTTTTTCAGATAGTTTGATGTTAATATATTTTAAATATTCATAGATTTTCATATGTAAATTTTGTATCCTACAATTTTAATAAATTGATTTATTAGCTTTTGGGGGGGGGGTAGAATTATGTTTTTAATTCTTGAGCACTTTCCTAATAGCTATTTTATCATAATAGTTTCTGATTCCAGCAGACCTGTCATTTCTGGGTCTGCTTTTATTGATTGATTTTTCTCTTATCTGACTTACCCTGCTTTTTTACATACCTAGTAATTATTTACCAGCTGCTAAACATTATGAATATTGCTTTGTAGAGTGTCTAGATTTTTTTTTTTTTTAGTTAAAGAATATTAAATAGGGAGTAAAGAATGTGTGGTGGGCAGTAAAGTAACTTGCAGATCACTTTTTTCCCTCCAAGACTTGTTTTTAAGATTTACTCAAGTGAGTCTACAATAACATTTACTTTAGGCTAATTTATTTCTATTAATAATTGTGACTTCTGTGGTCTCTAAATGTCTCAAAGATCTGTGCAACCTTGGCTAGTTAGAACTTGAACATGTTTCTCCTATAAAAGCTCCAGAGACTGTTTAGCCTACAAAGTTCTAGCAGTTATTTGCCCAAACTCATGCAGTTTCTCTCTATGCATCTATAGTTCACTATTAAGCAATCCATGCAAAGGGACATCTGTGCTTATTGCTGAAGTCTTTTTTTTTTTCTCTTGTCTCTCTCTTTCTAGTGCTCTGTCCTGTACATTCCAGCTGCCTCAATCTGTCCAGACTCTGATTTCTGTCTTTTCAACTCATTAAGTCTATGAGTTTAGGCTCTTCCTATCTGCACTGTAATTTGGAAAGGACCTTTAGGCAGAAAGCTGCTGTGATAGCAGGGCTTTCCTCATTTGCATCTGTCCTTGCCTTTAACATAATTCTGCACTACTTGTTGTCCAATTTTTGGAAACAGATGCTTCATGTATTTTGTCCTGATTTCTAGTGCTTTGTGGTGAGAAATCAATTCCAGAGTCGCTTACTCTAACACAGCCAGAGTGGAACAATGCTGCAAAGATTTTAAAACTCTGCAAATGATAAGTGAACTCCTGAATGCCTCCTTCTACAATGGATGGAGGGGGTGAAGAGGGAGACTTGTAGACAACTCTATAGCTTCTTTCTTGCTAGAGTTTAAGAAATGCATTTTATTTGGAAGTATTTTTGCCTCCGTTTCAAAATGGAATTTAGTGGAAATATTTATTTTTTGCAAGTTAGAAAAAGTTCCAACTTTAAATTTATGCTCTTCCCATAAATGACGATTAATTAGGCAGTTTTGCAAATACCGAAGTATTGTTAATTTGGATCAGTGATGATGAAGGGGCAGCTGCTGCTGCTCATGATACTGACTACATTAACTTAAGCACCTCCAGTCAGTACCAGGCACTGTGTTAGGGCACTTTGCATTGATTAATTTTACTCTTCCACAACAATCCTGCAAGTTAGAAATCAGGATCCTGAGAAACTCAAGGAAGTTAAGTTAGTTCCTCAAGTTCACACGCTAAGAACTAAATGCCCAGTGACTGAATTACTCCATGGTAATTTAGTGGCTGGAACTGGGAAACAATCTCTGCTCACCGATAACAATGCCTCCTTCGTATCATGCTGCTCTCTGATTCTATCTTTACCTGAGCTTTCCCATCTGGCAAATTAAAGTGGAAAACAGTGAACTCCCTCCCCAGAGAGGCTGTGTTATTATATACATGTTTTGCATTATTTTGCTCTGAATAACAGCATATGTAAATGTGCTCCTGGAGATTAAAATTACCCTTATTTTGTAAAACTTGGCCTCTTCCACTAGGGTGAATAGTTGAAAATTATGGGGAGGAGAAGGCAAGCTGGAGAGAATGTTAACTGGCTTGGAATTGCTTTTCCTCCTTTCTGCCCACCCATACATAAGGGTGTTCAAACACAAGCTGCCATTAGCAGAGTGAAGAGAAGTTTCCCATCGTGGAGTACTAGCCGACTCTGATGTTTGGTGTCCAAAGCAGGTTAATCCAAATTTTAATGCCTGGGTCCCAGGTTGATACGTAGGGGCAGATGTTCTTGCTGAGAAGAATGAAAGCTTCCTGTCGCACCTGGAAGCCCTTATCACACCTGGTGCCCAGCAGGGTCACAAAGAGATTCTGGTTAACACTGGCACATGGTGGCTGCCAACCTCTTGTGTGGAGGCTGGCATGGCCCCGTGGCTTAGGCTGTCCGTGGGCCCTGTGTTGTTGAGCCATCCCTATCTTGAACTGCCTTTCCTGGCATCTGAATCATCACTTCGATGATGTGATAATATCTGCAAGTTGGGAAAATAAAAGTGGCATTTGTTTAGCTATAATTAATGAAATATTTATGTTGCATGAGACTATGTGATAAAACCTTAGGCTTAGAGTCCTTGTGCTTCTGATTACATTTGGGATTTTTTTTTTCTGTGACCAGACATTCTGACGCCAGCTCTTTTACACTGAGCAGATGTCATGTAGTAAAAATGGGTGCCAGATGCTGTGAGCCGCAGAAGGGCGATTTGTTTAAGAGCTGGCTCCGACTTTTTTGCATTCAATTACTCTGTAGAAAGAACCTTACACAAGTGTTTAGGTAACTCAGCTAACTTCAGACATGCATTTTAATAATAGATCTCATCTCTGAATGCATTGTAAGCAGCATACCATATAAATGGTGTTTAAGGAATTAATTGATTTCTGCATAATACCTTGCTTTTTGGTTTTCTTGGCTTTTTTTTTTTTTTTTTTTTAATATGAGAAGAGAGCTGCAAAGCTCTTGGCAGGGATCCAGAAATGTAATTAACGTAGAGGGCCAAATTTTCAGTTGCCCTTAGGTACTGCTTCCTCAAGCTCCTGGCAGGTGCAGCTCGGGGAAGGCAGGGAGGGAGGACATGGGGAAGTGCAAGGAGGAAGAGGCAGCTTTGGTGCACAGAGCAAAAAAAAAAAAAAAAAAAAAGAAGAAGAAGCTAACAGTTCAGTAAGTTCTTCTCTTCCCATTTCAGGCTCCAAGCACATCCCTGTTGGAGCCCAGGTGACAGAGGCTGCCTCTCCATCTTCCTCGGCCACCTCCTCCTCTTCAGCAGATGAAGAATTCGATTCCCCTTTTTCCTGGAGGTCAAAGGTAACTTCATTTGGAAAACCAAACAAGGTGTTGGTCAGCCTCAGGTTTCAGACTCAGTGTGGGCTCTTAGCAGCAGTGAATCCATTAGGAGGACCATGGTGCTTGGCCTCCGAAGCAGCCCTTCTTTTTACTTGGAATACCCCCAAAATTACCTCCATTAAAAAAAAAAAAAAAAAAAACTTTCTCAGGGACTCTAATTGGGAAAGGGAAAAAAAAGAGGCATATTTACTTGAAACCATTTGGTAACTGCAGCTCTTAAAAGCTGGTTTAATATGTGGTCCAACAAGCAAACCATTGAAAAAATTACACCAAGCAGATGCATATTTCCCTGAGGGAAGCACAACTTCATTTAAGAAGCACTAGAGGCAGATTGCATGGAAAATGTGATGTTTATTCTAATCAGAACTATGAAATGCATCTAGACACGGACACTCTGAGGATCCTACAACAGAAGGGGCTAGCCATGTGCCTGCGGGGGAGGCAGCAATCTTCTTCATTTAGGGATCATTAATACTTCTAGAGAATACTTTAAACAACTCTCGTGCCCATAGAGAAAGAACACATCCGTGTGGCTGTAGATGTTTCTGTCTGTCACAGACTCAGGGACAAGCATCCAAAACCAAAGTCCACTGGTGCTTTCTTTATCCACTGGGGCTGGAGCCTTTCCACTGGGACCAGGGAGGGGTGATAAATATCTGGACCTAAAATGTTTCCCGGGTGGACAGAGAAGCAGTTCACTGCTCTGGTGGTGTTTATTTTTTTGGAGCAGTGTTGGGGAGGGAGGGAGAGACCCAAATTTATTTACTGAGACTCAACTTTTCCATATCTGGCATTGGGAGCTTTGGCATCACCTCAAGTCACTCGGGGGTTCCAATTCCCCATGGTTTAGCTTGGAACAGTCAGAAGGGGGCTGGGACAAGAGAGAAAGAGAGAGCGGGGGGTGGGGCGGGGAGATGGAGAGAGAGTGTGTATGGATTTCTCATTTTTAAACGTGCGGCTTCTCTGATTAGCTTAATGCTCAACACAATGGATTGTGTGTTGTGATTCTGGAGTCTCCTTTCTGCTCCTGATCCCCTTGAGGGACCCTAAGTTAATTCTGTGTTCAAATGAGACAGAAATCCCAGCTTTGACGCCTTCCACACTCAAGGAGAATAAAAGATTGGAGTGGCCAAAACACATGGAAGTAGCAAGATGATGTTTTTAAGGGCCAGCCTCACAAATAGATCCTTGTCCTCCTGCTGGCCCAGCACAGAGCTAGTTGTCACTTATGCTGGCCGGGTGGCAAAAGCATGCCTGCTTTGCCTGGCTTCTGAGGCATCCTGCTCTTACTGGAAGGGAAACTGGCAGCAGGATCCCTTACTCATAAGGACTCACTCACACTGAAGGAACAAGGGGAAGTGTTTGTCTTCTAGTTTCCTCATTTCTTCTGTCCTGGGTTGGTGTGTCCCCAGCCAGGTGGTATAAAGCCCAGGCAGCTCAAATGACCCCTCTGTACAGGAAACTGTACAGATATGTCCCCTCTGCCTCTTCCTTTTGCTCCGACCTGCCCCACCTTTGCCTTTCCGCCCAAACCCACACCTGGATCGGAGACAGACAGGAAACCATGTGGTTCGGCCAGTTTTCTTCCTTTTCCCCTACTGTCTCTTTCCTTCCCCAGCCCTCAGCCTCTCCCCTCGCCGCTCTGCATTGTCACTCTATTGAGAATATATGAACTGAGACTGGCATATAATAAAGTCATCTGAATGCTTGTTATTAAAGCAGACTTCCTTTCTACATCAACATCTTTTTTTTTTTTTGATACCAGGAATTGAACCCAGGAGTGCTTAACCACTGAGCCACATCCCCATCCCAATTTTGTATTTTATTTAGAGACAGGGTCTCACCCAGTTGCTTAGTGCCTTGCTAAGTTGCTGAGGCTGGCTTTGAACTCGCAATCCTCCTGCCTCAGACTCCCGAGCCGCTGAGATTACAGGCATGCGCCACTGAGCCTGGCTCAACATCTTTTTAGTAAGAGATAATCACTAACTATTTCCTCTCCCAGGTTCTGTTTGGTGACTCTCGATAAAGCAGTCAGGGCTTGATGTTTTGCTGCTGGGAAGCACTAAGGCCACACCCCCATCCCCACTGCCCTGCCGTTGACCAGGAGTTAGATTAAAGGGTCTCCCTTTAAAGGGAAATGTTGGCACTTAATTTCTATAAGATCCACCATAGATCAGGGGTCCTTGATGTGCCCCAACAGTATATGGCAAGAGGAAAGGCAATGTAGACTGGATGGAAATGAAGATATTGGATTCAGCCTGTCTAGGCTTAACTCCTACCTCTCCCCATTACTAATTGTTCAGTTTGGGCAAATTATTTAACCGCTCTGATTTTTTATTTCTACATTTACAGAATAAATACAATCTGAGGAATAAATGAGATATACATGTGAAGTAATAAGTTCAGTATGGCATGTAGCACTCAATACCTGTTAGGATTTATCATGTTGGTCAGTAGGATGGCCACTCCAGAGATACTTGTTAAGTCAATGCATTGATTCTCCATACAGGTTGAGTTGGTCTTCTCTGGATAGCAGCTTGTTGATCCCTACCACCTCTCTCCCTGCACCAGCCTCTCCTCAAAGATCCTAGCTACCAAATGAAGGGTTCCCCATGCAAAAGGCCTGAGACCCCTCTTCAGGCTGATGGATACTCATCTGGAGGGATTCCCAAAGAAACAAAGATGATGTAATATGAGAAAAAAAATGGGTTCTGAGAGCCAAAAATTTTTCCAAGCATGAATAGCTTCAGGACTTAGGTCCTAAGGAGAATTCAAGAAAATCAAATCTCATTTTTAAAAATGAATGCTTCCACTGATAATGGGCAAAGCTTCCGAAGACTTCAAACTGGATGCTCGTGATGGTTTCGCCATCTGTAGCCACAGGAGGTGACAGAGAGAACCACAAGGCCCTGAAGCATAAGTGCTTTCAAAGTATAATCTCTGACCTCTGGTTTGGACCCAGATTGCCCTGGCAGCAGGTCTTTAAATTCCCCACTTATGGATTGACAATCATTGAAGGAGAAAATAATCATCACAGTCTTCGAGTGCCCAGATATGAAGCTAGATGCAGCAATTTTTAAATTCCCTATTTGTTTTCTGAGGTAATAGATATGCCAGTTCCCCTGATATGGTCATTGCACATTTTATAAATGCATTAAAGTATCTCACTAGACCCCATAAATATGTATAGTCAGTCACTACATGTCAATTAAAATATAAAAAATAAGTTCCATATTTGTTTCTTCCAGTATTAAAAAGTAATGTCTAGCATGCTCTAATCCTCACTCTAATATGTACAAAGTTGATGTGTTTGTTCAGAGAAGGTAGACTCACAGTAAAACTAGCCCAATTTGAACATTTATCTTAACTATACTGGGTGTGTGTGTGTGTATGTGTGTGTGTGTGTGTGTGTGTGTATGTGTGGTTTAAAACATACTCCTACACCCAAAAAGTAATAGATTTTAGTAGAACGTAATCATGCTGATTTATAATACAAAATGATATGCTGGTGGTGAAAATCATGTTATTGATTATAGTCCGATCTCTTTTTCTGAGCCTTCTGCAAAGCGCTTGCCCACATCATCTTGCTTTGCCTTGAGGTGGGCATTGAATCCCCCTCATCACTCGGAAGAGGACTCTGGCATTCAGAAAGCTGGGGAACCTTCTGAAGTTCACACAGCTCCTTAGGAATTGATGGCAGCTTTTCTTGGCCCAGGTCTGGGCCATTGTTCTGCTGCTTCTCTGATCGGGAAAATCTCTGAACTCTCCAATTGGTAGAAGCGGCCACACCACCACTTCTTCTTTCCTTGGTATCTCAAACCGTGGGAGTGGCACTACCGAGAGCCAGACATCTGTTTTACATGGATCAATTCTGGATATTCTTTTTTCCCCCCTCTTTCTGTCTTTGAACAAGTCCAGGCACTCACAAAACCCATGATGATAACGCTGTATTTGTACAAGCAAAGTGAGGTACGGATGGGAAGCAACCTTATGCCAAGTGTTTCAAAGCCAAGAAACACTTTATTTTGAATTATGTAGATACATTCTCCTGTTTATAAGTTTATGTATATACTGTAGACCCAACTTAATTACTGTTTAAAGTTTTCAACTGGTGTTCATGGTGTGTGTGTGTGTGTGTGTGTGTGTGTGTGTGTGTGTGTGTGTCTGTCTGTCTGTCTGTATGCCTGCCTGCCTGCCTGGGGCCATCATCCCTGGGCAGGGTGGAAGCACCCATATAAGTCTAATTATTCTATTATTCCATTCTTCAACTGAGCTGAACCTAGTCAGTACTTGATTAAAGCCTCTCCCTCCTATCCTCCCCCCCCACACACACACACTTACATTCTGACACCCATTAGCCATGTGTGGCCACTTAGATTCATTAAAATTAAATTTAAAATTCAATTTCTTCTCCACATTCATCTCCTCTCCAGTGTCTGATAGGCACAGAGGGCCGGTGGGCCCGTATTTTATACAGCACAGACACGGCTTATTTCCATCTCTGCCGGAAGTGATAGAGGATACCATCATCCTAGAAGCTAAGCCAATGGCTGGGAGCCTGTGGAAGGGCGGAAGACTGTGAAGACAATGTGTAAATTTCAGTCCTGTTTTTAGCAGTCTTATTTTTCCTTCTCTATTGTTTTCCTTAGGAAGAGAAGATACTCAGAAGAAGGAGGAAACTGGAAAAAGCCACAAGGCAATTGGTTAAGCAAGAAGAGTTGAAAAGACTTTATAAAGCTCAGGTCAGAAAATAGACATGAGATGAGCAAGTGGGCCTGGGCCTGCGTGGGAAGGCCCCTCGGGGTCTGTGCTGTGTTGGGGAGGTGGGCTTTCTGGGAAAGGCCAGTCTCTTCTCTGAGGGACCAGGTGTGTGGCTTTCTAAAGGCCTTGGCCCAGTCCCTAGTGGGACTTTGGGCCAGGTGCTGAGCTGGCCCACTCCCAGCCACTTTTCCATCTGCAGACGTGTTCTGCAAAGCAAAGCTGAGACAAGAATCTGCATATGGCCTTGGGAATCACCCTGAACCCTGACTGCCTTGTAACAGTGACCTTGGCTTTGTCCTCTGAGGACACATATCTTCCATCAACTCCCTGACTGTCTTTTCTAAGATGACAGGTAATGGGAGCTGTCTCTACTTTAGGATTTGTTGAAAACATCTGTATCCAGCACTCCAATATAGATTTCCTGGCCTAATGGTTTACTCCAAACATTTCTGCCCAAGATCATTTACCGAGAGGCAAAATAAAGCAGAAAGTCTAGGCATCCTCCATCTCCCTGAGGACCCCAGCCATGTGTTGAAGAATAGCTGTATTTGAGGATACAAGGACTTAGAATGACCATTCATGTTAATTCATGTACCTTTCCCTCACTTTTTCCTTTTATCTAGTCATGTAACCCTGTGTGTTAGTCAGCTTCCCATTACTGTAACAACATACCTGAGATAATCAACAGAAAAAGAGAAAGGGTTTATTTTGGCTCATAGTTTCAGAGAGCCTAGTCCGTGATTAGTGGTCCTGTTCCTTTGAGCCTGTGGTGACACAGCCGTCATGGTGGGAATGTGTACTGGAGCCACCTGCTCACCTCATGGTGGTTGGGAAGCAAAGAGAGAGAGACAGAAGAGGAGCTGGAATTCCAATATCCCCTTCAAGGGCACATCCCAGTGATACAACTTCCTTCTAGTAGGCCCCACCTCCTAGAGGTTTCACCACTTCCAAATAGCACCATGGGCTGGGGACCGAGCCTTTCATATGTAGGCCTTTGGGGAACATTATAGATCCAAACTACAGCATCCTTAAATAGCTCCTGCCAAGAATGAGGTCCTTTTACCAGCTTCCATGATCTTTTCCAGTAACCGACTTGGGGCCACTTCCACATCCTGGACAGGAATGACTCTGTAAACTCCCCCCTTTCCACGCTCAACTTCTAAAACAGGTTTCCTTAAAAATGTTTCCACTTGTCCTTCTAAGAGCAAGACACGTCTGTATGGCACTGATTGGCAAGTCTTGCAACTTCTCACTTGAGGCAGTAAGAAGAATCACAATGGCCTTTTGAGTCCTAACCTGCTAGCACCACCCGTGGTAGCCCTCTTTGATCTCTGATTTCACCCTCCGTTTCTCAAGACTCACCACTGCACAGGTCTGCTTGGGCTGCCATCACCCAATGCCACAGGCTGGGGGGCTTAAACAACAGACATGGGTCTTCCCACCCTTCTGGAGGCTGCAGGTCCAACATCAAGGTGCCATTCAGCTTGGAGAGTGGTGAAGCCTCTTCCTGGCTGGCAGGCAGCTGCCCTGGCTGGGTCCACACATGGTCTGCTGCATGTGCACATGTGGGGAGAGAGACCTCTGTTGTCTCTTCCTCTTCTTATAAGGACAGACCTATCCAATCAGGGCCCCATCCTTGTGACCTCATGGGATCGTTACTGGCTTCTTCTAGACCCTGTCTTCAAATACAGCCCCACTGGGACTTAGGGCCTCAACCATGAATTTGGGGAAAACAGAATTTAGTCCCTAACAGTCTTATAGCTGTACTGCACAGGCATCAGTAATAAAGTCATTTAAAAGCTTCCCTTCTTAGTAATTCCACAGCACACTTGCAAGGGACAGATTTATAAAGGTACAATAATGTCATTCAAGGACAGAAAGGAAGAGGGCATGAAATCATAAGTAATTATAAATAGAATTTCTGTCTATTTCAGACTTTAGGTTTTGAACTTGAATACTCGTAGCTGGGACAAGAGAGCCAGGTGGAACCCACCTCAGAACCCACCCCTGCTGGGGTCACTTCACGGGATCGGAGGTGCTTTGGCTACTGTGCCTGTGATTCCAGGGGGGAAGGAAAAGCATGTGGGTTAAGGAGGAAGGGATGAGACAGTGCAGAAGTCCAATAGAAAAAGAAGGCAGGTGTCCTGCCTGCCCAGACAGCTGACAGTTCCTTCAATGTTCCTCTTCTGACAAGTGCAAATCCGTTTTGCCAAAGGATGTCCCTTTGGGCAGCATGGGTCTGGTGTGAGAAAGCAGAGAAAATTGATGAGGATCAAGAAAATTATATAGGAAAGGCTTTCCCTAGCTCTCCTTCCCAACAGACTTCAAGGAATCATAGCTAGCAGGGAAAAGAAATGTATTAATGCAAGTCCAGTCGTGACCCCAGACCTTAATAGGTGCTATGGAGAGTCTAAGGAGAGTCTGAGTTGTCCCTTAATGTGTTAAATAAACATCATGTGTCTTGTCTTAATAACTTGCTTGTCACAAAGCTACAGTACACTTCTACAGTGACAGAACCCTGGGCATCAGCCTGCGCTGCAAGAAAAGCGTAGGTGTCATTGGTGGCTAAGGACAGTAGCAGGATAATCCTAAAAAGAAACATATACACCCCAGAAGCTGAGCAGGTCTCCTGCCCATATCACATTCTGGAGAAGTGTCTGCTGGCTCTCCTTGAGAAAATAGAACATGGACATACTTATCTGGGCTCGTATTCTGCAGCCCTGGTCATGATGCTGTGGCCATAGTCAGAGGCTGTGGGCTCCAAGGAACCCAGGAACCACGGGGACCACCTACACTCCCTGCAGTCCCATCCTGGAGGACTTCGGTGTGCCTGACCTTGTCAGGGGACCGTTTTGATAATGGACTTGGCAGCAGATGGAAAACACAGGGAACATTAAGGTCTGGCGGTTTGGGAATTCCGAGGCCCTTGGCCAGGATGTGAAGGCGGTAAGTCACCAGCGACAGCGCCTCTTCCTCCTGGAGAGCCAGCGGCACAATCGGCCCCCGTGATGTGTGTCCAGTGCTCCCTGGTGATGTGTGATCCTGGTGTTGCAGGCCATCCAGAGGCAGCTGGAGGAGGTGGAGGAGCGGCAGAGGGCTTCCGAGATCCAGGGCGTGAGGCTGGAGAAGGCCCTGCGAGGAGAAGCAGGTACGGCACCCACGCAACAAGGTGCGGGTCTGCACCTACCATTTGAGATCGGTGCTGGTCCTACCCTAGGGGCAAAAAAAGAAAACATGTTCCATCCCCCCAGAGATCTGTTAACGTGGACAAGTACTACTGAGTCCACAACTGCTTCACACTTTTTTTTTTTTAAGATTTTAAAAAAAATAACTTATTTTTATTTGTATGCATGACAGAAGAACACATTCTGACAATTTTACACACATGAAGCATAACTTCCGTTCTTGTGGTTGTACATGGTATGGAGTTACACTGGTCGTGTATGCATATAGGGACATGGAAAATTTATGTCTGATTCATTCATTCTACTGTCTTTCCTATACTCATCCCCCCTCCCTTCACTTCATTTCCCTTTGTCTAAACCAATGAACTTCTATTCTTCCCTCTTTCTCTTATTGTGTGTTTGCATCCAAATATCAGAGAGAACACTTAGCCTTTGGTTTTTGGGGATTGGTTTATTTTACATAGCATGATAATCTCCAGTTCCATCCATTTACTGTTAAATGCCATAATTTCATTTCTTCTTTATAGCTGAGTAATATTCCATTGTGCATATATACCACATTTATTTTAATCCATTCCTCTGTTGAAGGGCACCTAGGTTGATTCTATAGCTTAGCTATTGTGAATTGAGCTGCTATCAACATTCATGTGGCTGTGTCACTAGGGAATGCTGGAAATCATCACATTTTACACTAATGTTTTTCCTTTGCATGCCTTACTAGAAAATAGAAAACAAAAGGCTAAATTTGTTTCTCTTACTAACACCTAAAGGTATATATCATTTACACTGACTTCCCTCCTTTTTTCTAGTTTTTCTATATCCTAAGTTCACATTTCTGCTTCACACTTTAAAAATCCCGTAGTGGCTGTGCTCAGTGGTGTGTGCCTATAACCCCAGCAACTTGGCAGGAAGATTCCAAATTTGAGGACAGTCTCAACAACTTAGTGAGATGCTAAGAAACTTAGCAAGACCGTTTCAAAATAAAAAAAAGAAAGCAAGCACGGGATGCGGGTTGGGGGGAGAAAAACCTAGCTGGTGGTTCAATATGAAGTTCCTCTGGGCATTGATCAGCTGGTAGACCTTGTCACTGCTCTTTAAGACACTCAGCCTCTATTCTGGCTAGCATGAATGTCCTTTGCAATTCAGGGTTTAAGATACATGCAGGGGAAATATTTGGGAATTTGAGCAATTTTTGGAAGTGATTCCAAGCTCAGTTAAAGTCCTGGTTTCTCTCTTTTCCTTCTGTATCATCTGGGGCTAGTCACGTTATAAACCTTTTTTAAACTTTCATTTTTCTCATCGAAAACTGACATACAAGTGCTTTTCTACCTTTATAAACTGAAATAATGATTAAAGGAGAAATTACACATGATGCTGAATTGAATTAGCCCATTGCCTGGACTTAGGTAAAAGCAATAAATGGGAATGACCCACGGAGCTTCAGACTCCTACATTCAGATCAAGCCCATCCCTGAACTCCTGCCACAGGCTGGACATGAAGGCACATACCCATCACACTACGGTGATGGGTATGACAACGTTTCTGCCTTGAGAAGTTTATAGTCCATTTGTCCACTGAGGGACAGAGACAGGTGAACAGGTGGCGTACAGTACAGTATGAGAGCTATAATAGCATGAGAGGGCCTTGCCGGTGAACCAAGATCTTAGAGGGAGAGCGTGTTCAGGCCAGGCTCCCTGGGAAAGGTGGTGTGCAAGATGAGAATCGGGAGAAAGAATGGGAATTCACCAGTGAGGGCTCAGTTTCCTTAAGTGGGAGTGATGATCAGACTTGCTTCTTGAGCTTGCACCAAGGATTAGCTAAAACAGCTCACACAAAACCCCTCGCTCAGTGCCTGGCATCCAGTGAATGATTAATCAAGTTTTTTTTTCCTTTTCTTACTAATTTACACTGGATTTCCTTGTAAAGAGAACCCCCCCCCCATCAGTACTTATCTGTAGGAATCTCTTGGTTGCAGCAAAAAGCCTGGGAAATGAAAAGGACACACCAGCAGAGCTGGGGCCTGTGTCAGTTTGCCATTGGGAACACAGGTCAACATGCGACATGGTTCTGCTCCCATTAGGCTGGGCAGTCTGGGGAAAATTGCTTAATGTCTCTGGCCCCAGATTCCTATTCTGAAAGATGGAGATGATAATTCCCATATTGTAAAGTCATTTTGAGAATTAAGAAGTTGATGGGCCAACATCTACCAGAGTGTCTACTATAGTGTTGGCATCCAACAATCACTACCTAATCTTATTTTGCAAAATATTAAGTCTCCACACACATAGACATTTAAAGAACTGTCTTTCTCATCTTGACTGTTTGAAATTTAAATCATCGATACCAAATTTCTAAAGCTTCTTTTGAAAATTTCCCTCATAGCAGATATTTTTAAAAAAGAAAGAAAGAAAAAGAAAAAGAAAAGCTAGCTAGCTAGCTATTTTGAATTTCACCTAAAGAAATCCGGCCAGTGGATAGTGGATAGTGTTTTCAAAGGCGTGCCAAGCCCGTCAGAAGATGGATTCCATTCATTCCCTCTATGTCCCTGTTAATTTAATTCCCCCGTTAAGTTTATGGGCCTTTTTGTCCTTGAATATCCTGGTGGGGGTGACAGATACAGATCAACAAGAGGTGGGGGTGGAGACAAAAAAAGAGTCAAGTCCTGGAGCGTGGCCTCCCTGGAGACCCACAGGAAGAGTTGTGAGCCAGGCCATCAGAATTAATCCACTGTAACTCATAATAACATTTGTGAAATAATAATATTCCTTGGCAGTTCAATATTCTATCCAGTCCCTTTAAGAGATTGCCCTGTTGCTTAATGAATGACCAATGCTTATTAGGTTAAGTTGTATTTGAGCTGGCCTCTGCGGCTCCGGTTCAAGTGATTTAATGGGAATTATTTAATAGGTATTATTAGGATAATTAGAAAATGATCACAGTTAGGCAATAATATTGAGCTGTAAAGGTTGTGAATAACCAAATTTAGAGACAGGCCTGAAAACAGGCGTAGCCTACGACAGTCAGGCCAGGCTCCTCCAATAATTATGTGCGGCAGCCTGAAAGGGCCTTTTGTTCCTGGGAGTTATTCATGAGGGGGGCGTTGAATCAGAGGACCGTGCGTGAGGGGGTGCAGGACAAGGGCCATGAGGGCTGATGAGCAAAACGAGGCTTTGATGAGCTCCTAATTGTCCTGACAACAATTCCTGCTTTCTTCTTCCCCATCAGTCAGAAATGAGCTCCTCTGCCCCCCGTCCCCCCCCCACCATGGATTTTTCCCCATTTTGTAGAGAAAAGGAAAACAAAGAAAAACAGAAATCTGACCCATCCACCCCAGACGACAAATCATGAGGATTCGCAGGACATGTCTGTGTCTGTCTGTCTTTGACAAAGGTGATGGCATCCCCCCATGGTCCTGTCTGCACAGGTGGTGGACAGGACAAGGGGTGCCCTCGGTGGGAAGACCACCCTGACACGGCCGGCCACTAAGCCCCTTCTCGGTGGAGGCACTGTTTGCTACCCACTGGTTTGTTGGTGGCCAACATGGTGGTCAGTGTTGCCCACAGGGGCCCTGGGATACCCCCATTTATCAAGAGACCACCCTTCCAACCTAGGTGGCCCGGGATGTCTGAATCTGAGCTTTCTCTCCATATCTGTAAAGAGGTGAAATCTGAGGAAAACTGAGCAGCTTCAAAGGAGAAAGGATTTATCTGCAGGGAAAGTGGACAATTTATTCCTCCCTTATTGTTTTACTCACTTTATCAGCTAGTTGTCTGCATTCGGCTTCTGGCCTTTTTTGGATGGTTTTCAGATGGTTTCTCCTTCATTAAGGGGTTCACAAAGACAAGTATGATGAGTGAGGCTGCCAGCAGGTGGCAGCAGGAGCACACATTATAAGGAGAAACTTCAAGGACAATCTAGACAGGAAGAGGGAAGTAGTTTGGTTTATACTCTGTGGTTTTCATCTTGACTACAGCTGAGGAAAAGAAGGAATAATATTTTCCTAAATAATGTAAACATGAGTCCTGAGGGGGGAAAAAAAACAAAACAGGTATTAGACGCTCCCGAGTTTGAATCTTGGTGTCGCCATTATAAAGCAAATACCTCTCTGACAAATTTTCTCCTCTGTAAAATGGGACTAATAATATCCACCTACTGGGGTTGAATAAAGAAAAGGTTAAATAATATGATGCTGGTAAATCATCTGAAAAGGAGCCTGGCATATAATGGGTGTTCCAAAAAGATTCATTCCTTCTCCTTCCTTTTATATCCCCATCACTTGAAAATGCAGTTTTCTCAAATTATGTTCATTTGCTTATTTATTCACTCTATTCACTTATAACTAAATTCCCTAGAAGAGATTTAAGCTGGTTTCTATAAATACAAAAAAAAATACATGCAGTTCACATGTTTTGTCCAAGTGAGAATCTCATTGCAGATTCATTGTTGTGCCCCAACAAAACACCACTGATTCATCCATAAAAGCAGTTCAACAATGAAAGCAGAACACTGTGGTTCTAAAGCCTGCCTCTCTGATAGCCAGCTATCACTTGGGAATGGATCTGGGGACCGGATATCGTTTAGGAAACCTTCCAGAACTATTTGTTCTCTAAATGTACCCAAAGGTGGTCAATTCAAGGTTATACGCATGGCCGGTTACTAGGCTTTTAAAGGTCAGCAGAACAGGGGAAGGGTTGGGGACCCTCCATGTTCAAAGAGTCTGACTGTTTGAATACAGGTAACCATAAAAATGGAACCACAAATAATATTTCACCAAAGAATAAAATAGGATATGGTCCGAGAAAGGACTCAAACTTTATTGAGAATGGCAAGAGTAACAAGAATCCAGAGTTAATGAAGCCAGGAATTTGAGTTGGTTTGCCTGAGCTTGATAGATTCTGGATACTTCCAGTGAAATTTAGTGAATCACAGGAAGGGAGTTTATTATTCATAGCACAATGTACA